ACAAAACTATGACTCAGATATTGCTCTACTGAAATTAACAATGCCTTCCGTGCTGACTGAGCGAGTGCAGTTGATATGTCTCCCAACCAAATTCGAAATTTCTGACGAAAATCTCCAGGATGGAGTGCAAGGATGGGTAAAGTTGGAAATGTTCCTTCACCCTTAAATACAAAGGCGATCATTTTTCATCACAGGCTTTTTGACTGCTAATTGCTCCAGGTTGCCGGTTGGGGCTATGACGGTTCGGATCTTCTCACTGCTGTCCTGACAGAGGTTCAGCTCCCGGTGATATCCAATCGCTTGTGTCGTCGGGACACCACATTATTCACACGGGACTCCAGCACCACTCGTACCCTCACCTCTAACATGTTCTGCGCTGGTCATTCTAGAAGCACTTCTCCTCAAGGTATGCATGATCTCCATTGCAGTGATGTATTATTTTCCATCCTTGCCAAATCACGTCTAGAGGCAATAGCATTGATCGTGCCCTGTGGGCTTGCATTATTATAAAATGTTTCATGATGGTAAACATTTATTCATGTTTTGGGCTTCCTTTGCTTAGTTTAGGAAAGAAATATTTAGAGACATGTATGAAACATGACCATTTTAATGGTATTGTCATCACTTGGCGACATTTTTAGATGTTCAAGAACAACGTCTTATACGTAGGATCTTGATTATCTACTTAAATATCGCTCTTTCTTTGTTCTTCTCTTAAATGCAGAGAAAACATTAGTTTCATCATTTGAAGACCATGCCATATTGTTCTCATTTTCTCTACATTCAGTCTAGTCGATCTCATGCAGGTCCGGGGCAGTTTTCTTCCACATACGCTCAAGTTTTCTTTGTCATTTCTTCTCATTAATTCTTAAGGAAAATCCAGAGGTATTGCTTTGAACCAGGAAATCGAAGTTCAAATGCTCAAATTGTTAAGCATCTTCATACAATGAATTTTTCTCATTTGGGTGAACAAGACCTTAAAGGAATTACAGGGTGAGTCAAAAGTCACTGAGCGACTTTGAACAGCTATAAATCAGTAAGGAATGCATTAATTCGCAGTTTCTTGTACAGGAAAGACCCTGCGTTAATTGACAATAAAAAATGGATGTTTGAATGAAATGTCAATAATAATTGGAACGAGCCTGCAAAAAACTAAAGGCAACATATTTCAACATCAACATAATTTTTAGGTTAAAATGTTCTCTTAACTTTTGCTGCTCCTAATGGGTTTCTGATGAAGCCGATCAACTTTCTTTGGAGGAACGTGTCGCGATCGTTACTTTCTTCTATATCTGTGAAATAAATTTTCCCAATTGAAACGTCGTACTGCTTTTAAGACAGATGGATTGGCAGGGTTGGGCCTATCGAGTGGCCTCCCAGGTCGTCGGACCTGACTCCACTCGACTTCTCCCTGTGGAGTTCCATTTAAAGATCCGGTAAATATCGAAACTTCGAGCACGAACATTGAATTGAAGAAACGCATCACTGAGAAGACTGCTGGATTGGCCTTTTAGTGATGGCTAGCTTGATCGAGATTGACGTTGTTCAATGTAATGGTCAGTAATTTCAGTCATTTTTACGCCAAATAAACGAATATATATATGGGTGATGCCATGTCAGATCGACCAATTTTCCCGTGATTTCTAGGTCGACCATCACCGATTTCGCTGAAATTTGGTGAGGAGGTAGCGTTTGGTCCAAAAGCGGGAAATCCAAAATATTTTTTTTTTCTGACCAA